TATGCTGTCGATTGCAATTAGATGGCATAGATAATTTATCTATGATATGTGGACAACGTGGATACTTCATTTATGAAAAGGAGATGGCGGAGATACTTATCTATGGAAAATATAGGACACTGATAACTCATCTATGCTTAAAATGTGATTCATCTATGGAATATAGATAAAGCAGATAAATTTGACATATAGATACATTAAATTGTGTAAAATCGCTACATTTTACGACTGTTGAAATGGCGCCCAACGTTGGGCATAATTGCCAACTTTTTCTAGGTTATCCAATGCATTGCAATATATTTTCGAGTCTTATGAGAATTATTTAAGGCTAGAAGCATACCCGCCAATTAACACGGAAACCATAATAGCCATGACCATAAGAGTTTTTAGGATAGGAAAAGAAAATTCTCAAATCTGTACAGTCAACTTTTATGTAAATTTAATTCAAAGTCAATGAGAATTATATGAAGTCAGAAGTACACTCTCAGACAATAGTAGATACATTTATCTAAGGCATTAAAAATTGTGAAAAATCGATAATTCTCCCGATTGTTAAAGGGCGCCCGACGATAGGCATTAACCTTTTCTAGGTCATCTATTGCCTTGCAATTTATTTTGGAGCTCTAAATATTTTTTGTATTATTTATTTATACTCTTCCTAGCTGGTGTCGTCCTCGTCTTCATTTCCTACTCCATTGCACTGTTTCTGTCAATCAATTTGGAACGCCACAGAAAAAAAATTAACGCCCAACTGAATTTCACAATTTTCTTTTGTAATGACATTTTATTTATTTATTTTTGTTTCATTGGACTGAAACTAAAAGTAGAAATACTTTTGATTTCCGATCAAAGCAGCATTGGCAAGCAAAAGCGGCAGACATGGAAAATGTAACAAGAACAAATAAAAATGGTTTTGGCAACATTTCAGACCATGACAATGTCTAGTAGAAATCTGGAGGCAAAAGAAAAAATCCATTGGTGAGTCATAACGAAAAAGGGATGGAACAGCCAACCAAAACAAAGGGAATTTCAGAATAAACTTTCAGCAGACCGGAGAAAAAAAGAACTTCCAACAAACCAACAAAAACAAGACATCCTTTCTTCCCGAGAACCCATTACCAAAACCACAATCGAAAATAAATTAAGGAGTGTTCTTCTCTTCCCAATCGAATCCTTAAATCCCAATAATTGTTTTACAAAATCTGTGCGTTTTCGCTGAAGAATGAAAACAAAGTTGAAAACCTGAACGCAGAAACACCCGCACAATCTTTTTTGTCTTTATTTTTTTTTAAATTATGTATGTCTGCTAAATTTCAGGTAACTTTGTTCCACCTCTTCATATGTCTATGCAACGGTGGAGTGTGTGCGTATATTTTGTCTTTCTTTCTTCATCATGTCGGAATATATCAGAGTTGTTTCTACAAGTTACTAGTCGCTGCTGCCTGTCATTCACTTATTGTGGTTTTGCGGGATTGTGGCGCATTGCGACAACAGTCGATGGAGTAGTTGGTTGGTGTCTTTTAGCGCCTGCTTACAACCAACAGACAAACTGCCTAACGTTATTAGACAAAAAAACGAACTAAACCACAAGAAAACTTAACGCCGGCTTTGGAAGCTCAAGTGTGACATATTGCACGTTAGGAGTGACGATGACGACAAAACCGACTCAAACACACACACAAAAACTCCAGCCCAAGAGACTCTGGCTTCAATGACAGCTGTTGAACATTCAGTGAACAGCCCTCTGGTGGTAATTCGTGTTGTCATTTATGTGCCGACGACTTTGCCGTCATCAAGCTTCAAAATAAAAGCAACAGCCGCAAAAACAAACGTTTGCAAAAAAAAAGTACCCACAACCTAGGAAACCAGCAAGTATTAGTCGCGGGAAATCCATTAACGCCTACTCAATTGGAATTTCAAGGTTTCTGTTCCGGTGCATAGTCCACAAACAAAGGAACGAACGAATGAATGGTTGGATAAATGAATAAATATCGGTACAGACAACGTATCAAAATATTATGTTGTACGCACAATATTTGCTGAGAGCATTTTCGTAATTTCGCAATGTGTGGTGGATATCAGTATAATTGGTCGGAAGTTATATTTCAATTGCGAAATTTAATATTGTTAGATGAGAATAGAGAAAAATTGGCAAACTGATGTAATTAATTATGATGTAAATTTCTTTCAAAGTGAATGAGAATTTTCTAATGTTAGAAACATACCCAGGAACACGGAAATCCAAAAATACGTGAATGTGAAAGCTTTAAGGGCAGAATATCAGTAAATATTTAATAATAGTCCATCTTTTGTAGGAATTTTTCTAATTAATCTCATTTACGTTGATTATTTAATTTGTTCTAACGCATATAAGTATTATTTAAAGCTAGAAGCATACCAACCAAATGACAATGAATCCATAATCGTCATGAACATGGAAGCTTCTAGGATAGGCTCTCTGATAAAGTTGACAGTAAATACTTTATATACGGTTTTAGAAATCGTGTATAATAGATAAAAGTAGAATGCTGTTAACTGGCGCCCAATTTTGGGCATAATCACCAACTTTTTCTAGGTTGTCCATTGCATTGAAATATATGGGAATTATTTAAAGCTAGAAGCATACCAACCAATTGACAATGAATCCATAATTGTCATGAACATGGAAGCTTCTAGGATAGGTAAAATTCTCAAATCCATACAGTCAATTTTGATGCAGATTTTTTTCAAAGTTAATGAGAATTATTTAAGGTCAGAAGTATATTCTCAGACAATGGAATCAATATATGTGCGATCGTGTAAGTTTTTGAGATAGGATGCCAATTTATATGTTTTTAAAATCAAATTAATGAGCATCAACGATCATCCCGGAAACATTTCTTACGATCACAGATATGGAAAATTTGCTCTTCCATCGCAGTATTCTCTTGATTTTATCTCAACCAATACTCAAATCACAGAATGATCTGATCAGACATATTTTATTTAAATATGTTGCTAGAAGTGAAAATCTATACGATTTTTACCAAAAAAAAAAGGCATAGAGTCGATTTAGATTTTGTTGTAGATTCAATTCAAAGTTAATGAGAATTATTTAACGTCAGAAGTATTCTCTCGAACAATGGAATCAATATATGTATGCAAACTTGTATGTTTTGAGAAACTATTTTCATCCTGGAAGCATATCACAGACATGAAAAATTTGCTTTTTCGTTACAGTATGCTCTTGTAATAATCTCTTGGATTTATCTAAACCCGAAATCACATGAAGAGCCCATTATATTTAAAAAATGTATCTAGAAATAAAATGTATTGGGATATTGTTACCGGAAAAATAGGGATACAGATTCGAGGGCGAAAATCGACATTTAAAATATCTTATTAAGGTCGCGAAAAAGATCAATCTATCGACTGTGTCAAGTTATACAATTATAAATCGGTTTTTTTACTTCTAAAGTCTAAAAACTGATTTTTTTGTTAGTGGTCCTAATTTTCGAAATTAGATTTTTTGATTTCCAAGATGATCAAAAGACTAAAAGTTTCCTCCTGGATTCATTTATCTAGAGATGCAAGCGTCAGTTTATATAAAATGTTGGTAAAATGTTAGATATGCAATAAATGGCGCCCAACGAGAGGTCTGAGACGCTGTCGTTTGTATTTTTTGAAATTTCTGTACGCCCGATTAGGGGTTCTTTTATTCGAACCCCCCATATATTTTGGTTTTCGTTTGATGATATCCAAAGGTTTGGGTTATATGAAAAAGAAGGCGATTAGGGATGGGTGCCTTTAATGCTATACGTTTGTAGAAGTTGATTGTTAATTGGCTTCATATGTTAATAATGCAATAAATGGCGCCCAACGAAAGGTCTAAAAATATGTGGTTCATATATTTTGCAATTTATGTGCTACATAATTTTCGAATATTTGACTTAATTGTTATTTGTTAATTGAGAAGGCTATCTGTGATTTATCAAAAGTCGGTTCGGAGAGTTGAAAAAATGTAAAGGATTGGCGCCCAATGCGAAGTATATAACTTCCATCATAAGTTTTTGTGTGGTGTTGATAAAGACCAACAAAGCTTTAACAATACCTCCAAAGTTCTTCAAAACACCGATAATTATTTCAAAATAAATGATATGGCACACAAAGTTCTAACTGAGAGAAAACTTTCTTCCACGAACTGATATAAGCAATTATCGAAATATAAATCCTACATATACAAGCGCTATTGGCGGCCGAGGTGGAGACAATGTTATTTGTAGATCAGAAACGCCTCTGTGAGCTACTGGAGCTCCATTCAAATATCCATGAAGTCTTCAAAATTAGTTTAACTCTATCAAAACACTTCAAATGTAAGTCGATGATCCACTGAAATCATTATTTTCTCATAAAATTCCGATAAAATTTTGTAAACTTTTGTTATTCAAGGGGGACACGAGTCTTTTATTTTATTCTTCAGATCTTGAGCTGTAAGGGACATAACAGTTCTGAAAGATGAGGACTTAATCTAACTGAAATTCGTTTAGTCGGCCCGAATTGATATATTTAGGGTACTATTAGTCAAAACATATCAAATGACGCCCAACGTGGAGTCCATTCTCTACTTTTCTCTATAAAAATAATATATACTTATATATGAGATATTTAGAGTACTATTCAAGAAATAGGAAATGGCGCCCAACGTGAAGCACCGTCAATAATTGTGATTTTTATGAAATTCACCAAAAAGACGTACGTAATACCCTCTCCCATTCACCTTACTCTCCATAAAAGAAAACAAACATCCGCCTTTGCTAACAAACACCAAATGCCTGATGTTTAGCACAAAAAAAAAATTCCCCACTTCTCATTCTCTAACCACACAGAAAAAATCCTTAGGGAACATTATGGAAACGGAAATTAGAAAAATATCCTCCTCTCCAATTTCTATTTAAATATCACTAACAACAAATAGTAATAAAAAGAAGAAAAAAACAAAAAAATATTGAATGCAGACTCACCTGTCGTATCCATGTAAACAATTAAAATGCTGAATACAGTCGCAAATGATAGAATACACAATGCGATTGGCAATAGTTGACGATAAGGTGATGGTCCCAGACGCGGATCAAATTTCTTAAGGTTTTTACTTCCGTTCGATGATGAACAAGAAGACGCTGTTATGTGGTGGTGGTGATGGTGGGGGTTGTGATGTTTGTGCTGATGCTGCTGGTGAAGATCATGATGATCGTGCAGATATAGATTTTTCGTATTTGATGAAATTGTGGAGGAGCAGGAATTTTTTAGTGATGCTGGCGTTGTGGATGATTTTTGGCAACATGATGATGACTGCTGCTGTTGCTGATGATGGTGAAGATGTCGTGGCAAATGCTGTGGCGAAAGTCTTGTTGGCGTTGATAGGGGCGATGATACTGTACTGGCTGAGGGCGAACTAAATACACTGCTCATCCCACTGGTGCAGCCACCGCCGCCACCATCATCGTCTGCGTCACCAGCCAAACCATTATCTAGAACTGAGGAGAAATTATGCCGCGCATTAAATAATCCTGCGGTTCGACTAAAACGATGTTGTAAATGATCGGGTTCATCGTAGGACTCTAAACAATCTTTGGTGGTGGTAGGGGCAGCAGCAGCTGCTGCTCCCGACGAAGAGGTCAATCTTCGCCTCCGTGTTTCATCGCTATCGACCTCATCGATAGATGATGAATCCTTTTTTGGTGTAGCACTTCGATTGCATGTTGTTGCCGTCGCTGTCGTTGTTGTCGCCGCCGTCCGTTCTGTGCTAATTCTATTGGGCAGTGTAATATTTTCATATTCTTCTAATTTATTTGCTAAATCAGTTATGGAAGCCGATTTTGCCAAGGACGATTTACTACAGGCTCTCCCACTAAGAGAGCTATGCCTTCTGTGTTGAGTTGTGGTGCTGTTGCTGTGATTGTGTGATGTTGTGGGTGATGGGGTTTTGGGATTTTCACTGGACTGGACCTGAAACCTTTCGCAACGTTGCAGTAAATTCTGCTCACTTGCCAAAGCCTTTGCCGCAGCCGTTAGTGTGGTTGTTGTTGTTGGTTGATGTTTAGACATAATTTTATTTGCTGTGCTGCTCCTTTTGGCTCAGCCGCTTCTCTTCGCTGTGTGTTCTCTTCTTAGTTATTCGATGTAAATATTATTATTTGAAAAAATTACGATAATTTCGTTGTTTAGTAATCAACATGTTTGCTGGGTTGTTTCATCACTGGAAATAGAAAAAAAAGAATATTATTTTAGAGATATTTTATAAAAAAAAAAATCAAGAACAAATGGTGTACAATGTGGTCTTCGAAACAGAACCCTCCAAAAAAAGTTCATTAACATTGGATGCAGGATGTTGGAGGATTTCAACGTCATCTTGATGTTGTACCAGAAGAACAAAAAAATAAATACCGAACCGAAGATGAAGAAGCATTTTTTTCAATTGTTAGAAAACAAATCTGCCGCCCGAAAAAATACAACAACAACAATAAAAACAAAACAAAAATACTCTTCTCCTAAAGAGTGGCACTTGAAATATTCTACTACTCCCTCCCTACTCCCGCCGCTCATATTTTTAGGCTTCTTGACAGCTTCTTGCAGCAGACGATTATTGTTGGTCGGTCATATGGACTGAAATAAACACCACCTGTCAAAAATCTATACAAAAAAATTACAAAAACAAAACAAACCGCATGCATGAGAGGTTCCACTAAAAGAGAGAGTGAAGGTGGGAGAGCGAGAGAGCCCATACTATAGCCAGAGTGAGATAGAGAGTAAGTGCAACAATCTACAAGATCAACATGCGGCATTTTCGAAAAACAAAACAAAAATAAAAAATATTGAAAATAAAAACAGTCCGACAGACAGACGGACTGACAGACAGCCACACACACACAAAACACCAAACACTTTACCAACCATCAATTGGACAGACAGACATACCAACCAAAAAATTTTGTATTTTCCAAATGTTGCACACACAAGCCACGCTACGAACTCGTAAAAATTGTATTGTTTTTGTTTTGGGTCTCCACAAAATAAAAGACGACGCGTAGAAAACAAAAATCCACAGCCAAAAAAAGGTACGTTTGATGTGTTGAACGACTACAAAACAAATGAGGAATGAGCGCACAAAAAACCTCCGCACAACATTCCAATTTCAATTCAGAGTTTCAATACGGAGAGTATTGAAATAAGAAGTTGAGATGATGGCGGCGGTGGTGGTGGTAGTGGTCGGTCGGTCGTCGTTGTGATGCATGCAGCAGCAATAGAGCAAGTGGACGGGCGCGCTCACTCTCTTCAAGAAGACGAAAAAGAGAAGACTGTCAGACAGCCAGCCAACCAACCATTCATCCAGCCAGCAAGCAGCAGATGTTTCTTCCTTTTTTCGTTTCTTAAGCAATGGCTCAAAAAAATAAAAAAAAATAAATACTCTCATCTCAAACTCAGATGTGCAGTGAAGCGGTAATAGTGGTGGTCGTCGCAAAAAAAAACCCAAAAACTCTGGACCATTTCCAAACCTAACTGGCAGAAGCAGCCAGAACCGATCGACTGGACTTTTTATTCTCAGGATATCACATTTTGCAGTGTTACCTTTGGCTAAGCACACATTTTGCCCTAAGCAATTATGTTCGTCGTTGGCGTTAATTATAAATTCTTAGCTTATAAGGGTCTAACCTAAGAATTAAAAAAAAACAATACTTTTTAAACATTCCTATCCCAAGAATTCCAATTATTTTCATTAGGAATGTGGTCAGAAGAACAAGAATAAACTACAAGGATATTAATTTTTAATTGGCCAAATTCGCATAGCAACAGTAGATGGAATTTTGAGAAGAAATTTATTTAAAGCAAATAAAGTCTGTCTTACTGGTATTCAGTGTCCAAGGTGGAAGGGTTGGTTTCATGATATTTATAACAAACAATTTTCGCATGTGATATAAATAAATTCTCCCGAAAACAAATTACGATCATAAATTGATCAAATTTATTGTGAAATCTGTCATTCGTTAACAAGTGTAATGTAAGATGAATAAGCATACCAGTGCAATTCTCATTCAGGTGATTTTACGGATTATACTTATAAATCCAAGAATACGACTGTCACACGGATGTTGGAATAAATGGAATAAAAATCTATGACAACTTCAATGGTATTCCTGAAAGAGGTTCCACGGTATATGTTGTGAAGACCATAAATTATATATAGTTCAGTCCTACATTGGTCCTTGACAGTTATTTGTGATCCAACTAAACTACCACTTGCTAGATACACTCCTTTGAGCTAATTACCAGATAACTCTATTCTCACTGCATGAGACTAGTTTTTAAAAAGACTTGGATCTTAAGGCCTATAAAGTTCGATTACAACAAGAGGTGAAGCCGGGCGATCATCAATAACGTCGTGATTTTGCGAATAGGATCCCTTGAAATACATGAACATTATACGGAATTCCATCGCAAAATTATATTGACTGATGAGGTTCATTTCTACCTCCATGGATAAGACAATATAAGACTTTTTGAATGAGTTTAGATCAGTTAATGGATTGTGTAGTTGAGAGATGAATAATGATTTTTTATGACCGGAGTTAAGTGCTATTGATATTGACAAGGTTTACTTTCAACAAAACTGCAATACGTGCAGGAGTTGTATCGGTCCGGAAAGAACTAGTTCAAAGGAACTATTCCGAACCAGGAACGATCGGAACTAGTTCCGGATCTTTCGTCCTCCTAGTTACTTTTGCTCCAGTTGTTCCTTCTTGCTCTCGATCAGCGACCTAGTTCAGGTCCTTTTAGTTCCTTTTGCAGGAAAGATCGGAACTAGTTCCGGATCTTTCGTCCTCCTATTTACTTTTGCTCTAGTTGTTCCTTCTTGCTCTCGATCAGCGACCTAGTTCCTTTTGCGAAGGGGACCGAAAAAGATCGAAACTAACTCTAAATACGTGCCAAACAAGATACGAAACTATTTATTTCCGTATCGTCTTATTTCTCGAGGAGGTTATCATAATTGGTCACCGAGATCTTGTCAATTTGTCATTGCGTTAAGTTTAGGTCAAGGCAAACGTTTGTGATTGAACGAATGATGAAATAGTTCGGAAAGCTGAAAAATAACAATAGCTCATTTGTTACTTTCGACTTTCATCTGAACTAGTTCACTTGCTCTTTCAACTAAATCGTTCATCTGAACTAGTTCGTTCATCTGAATTAGTTCGTTCATCTGAACTAGAACAAGATCACAAAAATGAACTAAAGAACTGGATCTAGATCCTATCGTTCCTTTATCGTAATAGTTCCAATGAACTTGTTCGTTCTGAAAAAATACGATAACAAATGAAGAGTGCTTGTATAAAAGAACGGTACCACTAAATAAACGAAAGAACTGGATATCGTTCCTTTAACCCTACGGTCAATAACCGGTTACACTTGTACCTTTTTCTAATAAAAATGCTGTAAAACTTTTAATAATGGAGATATTTGGATAAAATTTTTAGGAATCATTCTTGAGGTATTTTCTCACACAATTATAAATATTTTCCATATATAATTTTAAAATATTTTATTGATCTACGTAGGTAATAGTAGATCAATAACCGTGGTACATATGTACCCATCCAAAGATAGCTCTGTAACTCATTAAAAAATTGGACTATCGTGAGGTATTTTATTTTAAATTAGTCTATACGGATCTGATCTAGATGTAGGATCTTATTTAGGTATTCCTCAACCCCTCTGCAAATTTTTGTAGCCCTACACAACATGGGGCCATCAGGGCGACTCGTGGAAGTCAGAAACTACCCTGGTTTTCCCTTGGTATACAGGGGCCTCACGATAGTCCAATTTTTTAATGAGTTATTAGTTGATGCAAAATTATTTGCTATATCCGATTTTGTGTTGTGTAAAAAATTCATATAAAGATCTATTACTACCCAAGAGTTCCGAAACTACCCAACTTTGCAATTGTTTTTCCTTTGGGGCTTCGTCATCAGCTCAGCGACGTTTCAAGACTTCAAAGATGGAATTCATGAGGGAATCGAGTACATATCGCTCTTTTGCTGGGAGAACGAAATAAATCAAAAATCGTGAAATCTTAATCACATTTTCTACAGAATCAATTTTTTGATTTATGCCTGTTTTGCAATAAATGACCAATATGACAGCTACTTTGCGATTGGGTTATGAAGCTAAATTACATGAAGATTGAGAAGCTGTAGAATCAGACTCTATAATAGATTTTCATTTGAATTTTGTACACAACACAAAATCGGATATATCAATCACTTGTAAACCTACATGTATTCCCAAGCAGATACCAGTATGTTGGTCCCATTTTTAAGTCATATCAGGGCCAAGGGAAGCAGAAGGAGTGGTGGTAAAAAAAAAATAATTACAAAGATATAACTCTTCTGTATAAAATAAAAATTTCTTTGAGTGCCAAAATATATTCTCTCCAGGGTTATATTGATTAAGTAAATCACCATCAAGTGGACCACCTTCTATGAATTCTGACAGAAAGTTACACGGCTTTTCACCATGAAGCAGACAATAAAAATTTGAAGGTAAATAAATTTGAACATTATCAAAAAATATGTAATGAGAGATTCTCCATTGGGTTTGAGAGATTTTTGGAAATAAAATATGAAACCTGCTGGGACATTTGAAAGATTTTTAGTGGTTACACGAGGAAAAAAGTATTAATATTTTATAAGAGTTTTTGACAACAAATATTAAAAATGGATGCGATCACAATTTCATATTATGTTACATATTTCGATAGACCAACAACACTAAAAATAAAAAAAATGTTATGCAAAATTCCATGAAAAGGACGTCGTTTTGGACTTGCTAAACTTCCATGACATCAGTATTTTTTGAAGGAGTTGGGCCCGTTTTAATATCTTGAAATGTAATAAATCTTCCAATTTTTTGACAATCTTAATTTGTTCCTTAAGAAAAATAATCATAAATTTGTATACAGTTATTTCATAGGTTTGGAAAAAATCTATTTTCTTCAGTGCCGGTTACTTATCCTTTGATTTATAAGAGGTAAAAATTATGAAGTGGCTCCCAAG